TATTTAAAGAGAGTACTCAAAAGTTGTACTCAAGCAACAGTAGCAGTACTTCAACATATTTTTACTCAAGTAAAATAAAAAGTCCAAGAAACTACCCAAGTAAGAGTAAAAACGTATTTGTAAAGAGGATGCTTGAATACTAAGAAATTGATCACAATATCTGATTTAATAAATGATGTCTCCAGATTGAGAAAAACTAGACAGTTGCACTCAAAAAACAGATTGTTGGATTTAGTACATTAAGCTAGGTCAATAATTTCCATTCAGATGAGTAGAGTAAGTGTAAAGCAACACAAATTGTTATTCAATATCTGGTCAAAGTCTGCTTGTTTTTTCATTCAGTGAAGTTACTTACAGTGAGTATTCCATAGTTTTACTCAAGTAAGTGTAGTGATACTTCATAATAATATTACTCAAGTAAAATCAAAAGTATGTCAGTAAAACTACTCCTATAAGTACATTTTTCCAAAACGTTACTCAAGTAAATGTGAGCAATTATCACCCACCTTTGATTATTTATTGGTGTCAACTTGATTCAAGAGTTCAGCCAAAACAAAAAGGACTGTAGTTCTGTCAGTTTTTCAGATAATTTGAGCTTTATTTTGAAGAGGTTGTAGCTGAGAGTTATTCTCAACACATTAACCAACACAYCCTGATCAGACGATCTTAGACTTTCTTCAGATTTCTATGAATTTGTAAAGAGTTTTTTTTTTAGAGTAAAATCCAAAACTATTGAAGCAGTTTAAATAATAAACGTGACTCCAGTTGTTGCTTTCTGTGTCGTGTCATGGCGGGCTGTTTTTGGCGGTTCCGTCCCGAGCGACCCCGTGTTCGTAGAGAAGTGATGGTAAAGTGGTTTGAGCCCATTGTGGTTGCTCAGAGTGGCCTCGCTGACAAACAATGCGTCGGCACACGAAGACCTCCCGCCACATTAACGGATAAAACTGCTCTGATTTTGGGGGTGGTGGCTGGTGTGTGTGTTTGTGTGTGTGTTAAGATTGGGGTGGGGGGGGATGACAGCAGTGCGACCAGGACTTGTTGTCAGAGCACACTGGTGCAATGTGACCACTCGCAGACTTACAAAAATCTGGGATAATTAGACGGAGACAGGACGGGTTGGGTTAGGATCCAGCGTGTGGCACAGCGACCGCCGTCCCGTCGCTAACGAGCGCCTGGTGTTAACGAGGCCCTCCTCGCCCGGCGCTCAATGACCTAGCATTAGGCCATGGAGCACAATGCACGCCTGAGTGCTCCCTTTGCCGTGATTGGCCCTTTTCCCTGCCAACTCCGACCAGGACTTGATGGGGACGAGGCAGGACAGGGCAGCTAATGATCATTAATTGCACTTCGTTGGAGTCCAAACACTGGTGCACAGACACACTGGTGTGGTCATAGTCAGCATRACCAATGAGGCTCCAGGGCTGAAAGGGGGATAATAACAACCTAACCCAGTTTTTTTTTTTGTGGGCCTCCCGCTGAGGCCAACACAGCAGACTTCTCACTTACATAATGCTGAGGATTTTGGCGGCCTCCTGCAGCAGAGCCGGGACACAGCGAGGCAGGACTGGAGGGATGCTAACACACTCTGACCTACTTTGATCCCACTTGTTTCCAGGGTTGTTTTGAGCGGGCTCAGTGAAACACGCAGACATGCAACGGATTGTTCTGTCAAAATCAAGAAGCAACGAGTMTAAAAAGATTAATTTATTGGGTTATTTAATATTGTTTATGCAGAATCACATGACCAAGAATTAGCTATCACCATCTATAACTGCTTTTAATTTATTAATGTTTGAATACCAAATTATTTTTAATTGGGTGACATGTTTCAAGTCATGTTACATGTTAATTTTCCATATCTGGTTTACTCGATGACATCCTGATTTCTTAAGAAAAGATTCTGGTTTGTTTTTGACACAAAACATTTTTTTGATGGACAATGATAAGAACTCATTCCACCAGGGTTACTAATTAAGCTTCTTGTTCATGAAATATTTTGCTAACAGACCTGACTGAGTCCATCACTTACTGTTTGACAGCAAACTGAACCAACTAAAAATGATATCCAACAGGAAAAGGGYTTGATGCTCATTTTAAAATGTTGAATTTAATAAATCACCAAAACACATAAAATTACAAGTAATGACTACATATAGGAAAATAATTAGTTTTTTATTTATTTCTTTTGTTGACACCAAAAACTAAAATCACGATATTGTTTTAACCTTGTGTATGTGTGCTTTTTTGATAGCAAAATATCTCATGGGATTATTTTGAGAAAAACTCATTGGGTGTATACAACCGATCTAATAAAACACACATAAAAAAAGTGGTCATAACTGAGAGTCATTCACACACATTCATTCATTGTGAATCGTGTTTGTTTGAATGGAATTCATTATTAAAGTCAACACAGTTTGTCTGCTGGTAAATATTTCAAGAACTGCTGAATAACTTTTAAGGAAATTTTGCAAAACTAATAAAAAGTCAGTTAAATACAAGAGCTAATCAACCTTTACCAACACAACAATGGCTTTAACTTAGATTTGTCCATATTGAGCTGAAATCAGGTGTGATGTTAGCTGAAAGTCATTCACAACACGGTCTGAGAAAAAAACAGATTAGTGACTTCTTATAAAACATGAGTAATATCATTTACAAGGTTTGACCAATCCCTTCCTTCTCATTTTAAGCTGATTTTAAAGCTCGGACATAAAAGAGTGCACGATGAACATTCTTTCACAGAATGCTATACAGCGGGTAAAATAAGTATTGAACACGTCACCATTTTTCTCAGTAAATATATTACTAGAGGTGCTAATGACATGAAATTTTCA